AAAAACATATTTTCAATGGGTAAAACTCTTCATTTTTCCAAATCCTGGAACTACCTTTCCCCGCTATTTATCAAGACATCTCTTCCATTACAAGCCAGAGTTCTCTCCCTTGCTTCGGGCTGTATTTTTCTCTCCATAGCACCAATTGCTATTAACATCTGATATATTTTAATTCTTTTGTTTATTGTTTATTCATAGCATCTCTGCCAGAATTAAGGTGTGTGGCTATATTATTTATCATCCAGACCAAGAGATTTTGGAGAGTGGAAAAAAGCACTAACACAAATGATGCCAGGACGAAACGGAGACGTTCCTGGGGAAACGAAGGTGGGGAAACTTAACTATAATGCAAGTTCCATAAGCTCAGGGACTTGGGTCTGACTTTTCTCTCCCAGTGTCCCCACTGTCTAAATTAGCACAAGACACCCATGGGATGCTCCATAAATAGGTACTGAGTCATGATGGCTCCAAGCATAAGCTCTCAGTGGACTGCAGGGGTTCAAACTCTGCCTCTGACATCAATGAATTACGTCATTTCCCTGCGGTAATTTCCTTGACCACCATATGCTTCAATTTCCTCATCTGTCAGATGGTGACACTAATGAGAGCACCCACCTCACATGCCTGTGAGAACTAACTGAGCTTATCAACAGCGCAATCCTGAGCACAGGGTCCACACCCTTCAAGAGAGGGCGCTCCAAAATGTTGGCTACTATCATGACTGTTGGCCATTCCAAGACTGTCTTTTTTTTTTTAAGATTTAATTTATTTATTCATGAGAGAGAGAGAGAGGCAGAGACACAGACAGAGACAGAAGCAGGCTCCATGCATGGAGTCCAATGTGGGACCTGATCCTGGAGTCCTGAAATGCAGCTTGAGCATGGAGCCATCCAGATCCAGTAGGCAGGATGGGCTGCCCACCCACAACAGGACCTAAGACAGCCGCTGCTGCCGTGCTCAGTGCTGGCTCCAGCCAACCACCCTGTTCCACACGCGCCCTGGCCCCACGGCTTTGCACGGAGGTGACCGCACATGTTCTGTTCAAGTGCGTCTGAGAGCCTCACCGTGGGGGAGAGCCCCAATGAATAGAAGGTGACAATAACAACCACCGTCCTCATCAGAAGACTCTTGAGTCCCACTGTTGACGTCCAGAGAAAGAGCGGGGAAGCATAGTGTGGATTGCATTAAGTACGTGTGGAAAATCAAGAACTGATATTTTTCTCTGTTCAAACAGCTTTTTTTAATTTGCTATGGTGTTTATAACAAAAGGCAGGTGCTCAACCACTGAGCCACCCGGGTGTCCCCATTCCAAGACTGTCTTAAGAAGGCGCACAGAGCAGATGGTTATGACACTGCCTACCCAGCACCCCTTAACATGACAACAGTAGAAGCCTCCTTGTGTCCATGCGATTTCCTGGCTGCAGTTGGCTGATCCTGAGATCGGCCCCTGGCCTGAGGCTGGCCTAGGGGAGCTCTCTCCCCAAACTGAGGAGCAACATTTTTTCCCTAGAGATCAAAGATGTGGAGTCTGTGGTCCTCATGTAATCGACAGTCACATTGCCCATTCTACAGAAAAGGCAGGTCTACAAAAAGAAATGATGGCTGCTGAGGGCAGAGGAGGGAGCCGTGGTACTTGAAGCCTGGCTGCATTTCTGCCTCTCTGATGGCTCAACCAATCCCTCTGAGGTCCTATGAGCCAGGAATCTCCTCTGTGGCCCTAGCTACTTTAACCTGCCAAATGTAAATTAAAAGGTCCTGACAAGGGCAGTGGTAGAGAGATTCATCACACTAATATACAACTGATTTAAAATAATTTTTTAAAGGGGATGAGGAGGAGAAGGAGAGGATGATAAATATTTATTGGTGCTCACCCTTTGCCAGGCACCATGGGGAGACTCTGCTTGTACCACTATGTTGTGGGTACCATATTCATTCCCATTTTATGGACGAGACAGCCAAGACTCGGATATCCAAAGAAACCTTCCCAAGGCCACACAATTAGTTTACTGGATGTCCCTGCTGGCTTCCTAGCAGCACTTCTATCCTAGGTGATTAATCTAAGCCAATTAACATATGGTAGTCTCCTGGTGAATGTTAACAGACCAGGATTGGGAGCATGTCCTACACTAGCCCAATTAGACTGGAGAGAAAGACTTATATCCCATGGCTCGGGTGTTTGCTTCTCCTGCTTAGGAGAACCAGCCTCAGAAGAAAGCTAAGTTCCTTCTTCTAAGAAAAGAAGAAGAAAGAGAAAGCTGAAGAGTTCTCTTTCTCTTCAAGGGAGAAAGCTGATGTTAAAATTAGCACAGTGGAAGAGCAATCATAAAATACAGGTTGTCCTGTTCAATTTGAATTAGAGATAAACAATGAATAATGTTTTGACATAAATCTGTCAAATATTGCATGGGTCATACTTTTTTTTTTTATAAGTAGGCTGCACACCCAGCATAGAGCCCAGCATGGGGCTTGAACTCAGAACCCTGACATCATGACCTAAGTTGAGATCAAAAGTCAGATGCTTAACTAACTGAGCCACCCAGGTGCCCCAAGGGCCATACTTCAATACTAAAAAAAATTACTGTCTATCTGAAATTCAGATTTCTCAAGTGTCCTGTATTTTTTTTATTTTTATTTATTTTTTATGATAGTCACACACACACAGAGAGAGAAAGAGGCAGAGACATAGGCAGAGGGAGAAGCAGGCTCCATGCACCGGGAGCCCGACGTGGGATTCGATCCGGGGTCTCCAGAATCGCGCCCTGGGCCAAAGGCAGGCGCCAAACCGCTGCGCCACCCAGGGATCCCTGTCCTGTATTTTTTTAAAAGATTTATTTATTTGAGAGAGAGAGAGCACACATGTGCATGCACACAAGCACAGGGGCTCAGCGAGGAGTCCAAACGCCGGGCTCCATCGCTCCATCTCATGACCCTGAGATCATGACCTGACCCAAAACCAAGAGTCGGATGCTTGACCAACTGCACCTGCCAGGCACCTCCCAGGTGTCCTGTATTTTTATTTGCTAAGTATGGCATGATGGAGAGAAGGAGTATACACAATGAAGAAGTAGTACACACTACCTCTGAGCTTCTGGTTATGCAAGGTCATTGATTTCTTTACTGTTTAAGCCCTTGAGAATTTCTGTCACTTGTACCCCAATGCAACCTATCTCATGCAAGTCAGAGGTTCCAACCCAAGTGGGAAGGACACAGAGCCAAAGGCACACCACTGTACAACTCCTAAGGGGACAGAAACTAAACACCATATTCAAATCTAAAAAGCTAGTGCTTAGGACACTTTTTTAGGAAACTTGTTTTTTTCAGAGCTATACAAATGCAGCTTAACAGACTTACTGGAATTCTTCAGATTCTCTTCAGTCAATGTAAATTTTTTATTATAAAGTCATGGAATGTGAATTCACTTAAACTGTAAAACCCCTTCATGAATACTAACAAACTCTAAAATCTCAAGAAAGATGACTGTTCATAGCCACCAAAAACACAAAACATCTAGCAATTCCAGATTAAGAATGCCAATTTTTAGACACTCACATTTCCTTGTCATTTTGTTTAAAAAAAAAAAAACGATTAGCTCCATAGCAAAATTTGACTTTAGAGCAAACCTGGGGCATTATAAAATAATCAAATAAAATAGGAAGTGAGTATAGGAATGAGCAGAACTGAATAACCAAATGGGTAACCATAGGACTAAGATGTGTTTCAGGGTAAAAGTCGTGTGTGTGTGTGTGTGTGTGTGTGTGTGTGTGTGTGTGTCTTGGGCATATTATTTACTTAGCATTGAAAAATCTCAAGGAAATGAACCCAACAGGTTTACATGTGATGTCAGGTATATCATCAATGAACAAGAACAATATGTTGAGTTAGCCATTACTGTAACGAAAAGACAAAACAATCCCTGTATCTTTATTTGCATCTACCAGTTTCAAAGCCCTGCTCTTGGGCAGAGGCTTCTCCGTAACGTGGAACACAGAGCATTAACATCACCGTCATCTAGGCTCCCTTCGAGCCCATAGAAAGCCACAATTCAGGGCATGTCAGTAGAGAACAACTGTGAGGTTGAGAAAGGTCTAACAAAAATATCTTTGGAAAACAACAAGATATATATGTGTGTATGCAACTGGATTAAAAGAAATGTGATTTGTGATATTCCTGAACATAACATGTTATGAAAAATCTAAACTGGCCCCAATCTATACATTTTACAAAAACCCAACCAAAATACCAACCACTTGGTTGGTTTGTTTTGGTGGGATCCAAGAAAGGCTTGCTAAAATGTTTGTAAGTTTTATCTGGAAAAAGTAACAAATAAGAAACATGTGAAAAACAAGAGCAAAGGGAAAGAGACTAGCCCAAACAGATGTCACAAGTATTGTAAAGCCAAATCATTAGAATAATGTGGTACGACCCCAGGGTTACAAAGGAAGCTCCAAGGAACAGAACAGAAAGTTCAGAAAAAGATCCACAAATATATAAGGATTTGTTCAACGACAATATGTAAGTATCCAAAAATCTGTGGGGGAGAAAAAGTGGATTTATCAATAAAAAATAAAAAATGTTGGCTACCACCTAGGAAGAAAGAACATAAATGGCTTGTGAGTTTTGCTGGTAAGATGGCTCTTAAGGACTGAAGTAGTAGAAGCAAATGGGAGAACAGAATCCATCCCAGGACAGAATGCTAACAGGTGACGGCCCTAAGCCCTCAACTCCCCCCTCCTGACAGGATTCCCAGCAACAAAGGGAATACTCAACTGGTCTGCCTCCTTCCCCCTCCCCATTGGACCTCACTGGGTTTCCTTCCACACCCCCACCCCCACCGCCAACCCCTCTTCTCAGCCAGCGTTTCTCTACCACCCAATCCCCACTCTGAACACAAAAGGATTCTGGGAAGTTAGGAGAAGTTCTCTACATATTTTGGATTCCCTGATCCCCCCCAGTCATTGTAAGGCATCGAGAGTTAACCAAACTTCAGGAATACGTCTTACCTGTTTCCTCTTTTCAGGGGGAAGTGATGGATCACCATCCTACAAAGGAACAAATGTTACATTTTACTTAAAAAACAAACAAAAAGATGTACTTAGATTTGAGGAACTGACCCAAACTCTGAAGCAAATTCAGACCCTCCCACTCCTGCCCCCTGTGATCAATAGTGTGCGGAGCCAAAGTCAAATATATATTTTTTTAAATATTAAGTATCAACTGAACCAGTTATGTTGGAAAAACCTGTAATAAATCAGTTCCAATTAGGACCAAACCCATATACTTTCTAAAACCACAGGAACCAGCTAAATATATGAATAAACTGTACTTATCAAAATTCTTTTTGAGCAGAGCCCAAACTGAGATAATACAGTTCACTTGGTTTGAGCTGAATTCCTCTTTTAAATGGTTAGATCCAGAGCACTGGGTGTTACATGATATGTTGGCAAATTGAATTTAGATAAAAATTTAAAAATAATAATATTAAAATAGAAATAAATAGTTAGATCCTAAGGAATAATAATGGACACACGTGCTTGAGTTTTCTCTATGGGCAGAACAGGTAGGGAAGAGGGGATATGATATGCTCAAAATAAAAGAGAATTAACTGAGAACTTCCAGTCCTATCAGACTTTCTGTCCTAAAAGGATTCAATCCTACCCCCTCTTTTGGTGCCACCTGGGAATAAAAAGGGCTCAGGTGAACATTCAAATGCTCCGTAAATGAGTACTCTTCTCTCCAACGCTACCTGTATATAACCTGTGGAATCATCCGATCTGTTTCTGCTCCAAGATGGATCAGTGAATCCCATACAGAGAGCTAAACGTTAGCCATCGGGTGAGCACCCCAAAACAGAGATTGCATCCGTGACAGAAAAAAGTAGAATGGAAAATGGTGCTCATGGGGATCCCTGGGGGGCTCAGCGGTTTAGCATCTGCCTTCGGCCCAGGGTGTGATCCTGGAGACCCGGGATCAAGTCCCGCATTGGGCTCCCTGCATGGAGCCTGCTTCTCCCTCTACCTCTCTTTCTCTCTGTGTCTCAAATGAATAAGTAAAATATTAAAAAAGAAAGAAGAAAGAAGAAAGAAAGAAAGAAAGAAAGAAAGAAAGAAAGAAAGAAAGAAAGAAAATGGAGCTCAGCAGTGGTACCCTCCGTGTCAAGAAAGGAAAGAAAGAAAGAAAGGAAAGAAAGAAAGAAAGAAAGAAAGAAAGAAAGAAAGAAAGAAAAAAAAGAAAAGAAAAGAAAGAAAGAAAATGGAGCTCAGCAGTGGTACCCTTCGTGTCAAGAAAGGAAAGAAAGAAAGAAAGAAAGAAAGAAAGAAAGAAAGAAAGAAAGAAAAGAAAAGAAAAGAAAAGAAAAGAAAGAAAATGGAGCTCAGCAGTGGTACCCTCCGTGTCAGCACAATCTGTACCTTAAAAATCTTGCCACATGAAAACCGAGAGAATCTAAATGCCTGGGCTAAGGGAAAGGTCAAAGAAACTATGGAAATCTTACTATACAAATGTTTTTAAAAATGAATTGAATTTGTATGTGTGGCCTAGAGAGATGACCCAGGCAGAGCACTGAGGGCAAAGCAAGTGCTGGAACATTTGGTCCAACAGAACTCCACGATGATGGAAGTGGCCTGTGTCTCACGGTCCAATACGGTGGCCCTCACGGAAACCTTCTATATCCACATAATCCCACACAGTAGCCACCGGCCACCTGTGGTGATGGGGCCCAGGAAACGTGCTGGGCCTGAAGAACAGTTTTTGATTCTACTGAATTGTAATTAATTTGAAATGAAATTTAAATAATCGCATGTGGCTAGTGGCTTCTGGATTAGTGCAGATTTATAATACGGATCCTCTTTATAAAGCCCCAATGGGGGGTGCCTGGCTGGCCCCTTCGGTGGAGCAAGCGACTCCTGATCTCCATTCAGGTGCCGAGTTCTAGCCCCACCCTGGGTGTAGAGATTACTTCAAAAAAAAAAAAAGGATAAAAAGCCCCATATAAATAAAGTAACAGGGAGGCACGTACAAACACACGTGTCTGTGTGCGTATTTCGGAGGTGCCGGGGCAGGCAGTCTGGACGCACACACACATCGGCTAGTGCCCGGGACTGGGTTGTGGAGGTAACAGGGGCCACAACTTTCCCTTCCTCATTTCTCCACTTTGGAGCTTTTTGAATGCAATCTTTTTTTTTTTTTAATTGTAATGAAGTAGCATGCTGAGATCCCCCCCCCCTTTTTTTTTATTTCAATTCCAGGGTAACCCACTTCCGATCTTCATGCAGGCACGAGAACGTCCTGGGATGTAATACTTACGATCAGCTCCCGGTATTTCTTCTTCAAGGACTGGTGGCGCTCTCGAAGCTGATTGGCCATGAGTTTGTACTGGTCCCTTTCTTGCTGGCATGTGTCCAGCTCCTTGGAGAGGATCAGCAGGGCTTCCTTTTTACTCTCCAGCTTTCTTTTGCACACTAGGTACTGCAAAACAAACACGACCAAGCAGCTGATCAAACACACCCACAGACCTCCGTTTAACACGCACTGTCTTTAACACACCCTGCAGGCCTGCTTTACTTCTGTTGCATTTTTTTTAATTATTTTTAGAGATCACATATACAGATGTCTGCAGCAGGTATACGACATACAGACTGCTACAGTACGCGACATACGCCCCTCACGACAGAACCGAAACCTTGGATGATCGTGAACTTTGGCAAACTGGATAGACAGATAAAATAATTTAACCGACGTATAAGCAAAAAAGCAAAATTTCTTTTACATGACACAGCTGGACTCGACTTTTGTTTTAAAAGGATCTGTATATTCGGTAAGATTGGGTAAAATTTTATTAAAATTTAATGAAATGATATACACAGATTATTCGATACAGATTTTGTAAAAATATCGATAACTCCTGGTCACGTGTTTTTCACGATTTTATTCTTGATGCTTTGCTGTGTTTTCTAAGTTGTCCAGATTAACCCATATGGCTGTACTATAATAAAGAAATAACAAAAAGTGTTATTAGAAATAGCTTCATTGAACTGTAAATCACTGCAGTAGATTTTACCTGCCCATTCAGCCCAGCAGACATTTTTCTCACCTGAGAAATGTTTGCTAATTCCACCGAGATGTGTGCAACTTCCGTAATTCCAATGCAGGCACCTGCTACCCAACTCTGTGAGCAAAGTATTTTAGCCACACTTCGATTACCCACCGAACAGGTGGGTACCGGGTACCTAGCTGAAACACAGGGTGTACCTAGCTGGAACTCTTCCTCAGACACACAGGATTTCTTAGTCCCTCCTTCCCCCCTTCCCCTCACCCCTACCCTGACCATGAACCACCCTCAGCTGATAATCACCCAGCACGTGGGCCAGTGTGAGCCTGACCGGGACTCTTTACTTTTCTTGGATATACTGCACCATCTGGCGTTATTCACGTATGTGAAATGTGGCATTAAATACCTTTTGAATTTGCCCCGTAAAAGACCAAATTCAGAGCATTCATGAAAACAATTTATAGTTTCATTATACACTCTGACATGAGCACTTTGTCATTATAGACGCTCACACAAAGCAGAGAGAGAATCGGCGCTCCCGTACCATTGGAGTCAATGCTCTTTTATGGACAAAAAGCATTACTCATATATAGTGCTTGCTTGGAACTGACTTTGTTAAGTTCAATTTCAAATAAATGAAAGGGGAAAAAGAGTTTTGTGCATTAGCACAATTTTTTTTCCGTAAAAAAAAAAAAAGTAATTGCTTAGCTTCAAAAACAAAGGGGAAAGAAAAGCCATTCGGAGACAGATTTGAGTTCTAAGAGAGGACGCTTCCACCTTGGGTGAATCTTATTCTCGGCAGTAATGAGGTTGGAATCTTGCCTTAAAATGTCCTGGACTTTTAAGACTTTGACATCGTCTTCGTGGAGGCAAAATGGTTCTGTTGCCACTGTGATTTCTCAGGAGTAAAATCCCCAACGAGTAAATATCAGAGAAGAGTGGCTCAAATATCTCAACTGCAATGTCCTAAGGGAGGTATTGAGATTTCACAGGAAGAAATCCCATTTACACACAATTTAGCAGATCTGCCCTCACGCCTTTGGTGCTTTGCCCACGATCAGCAGCCTCCGTTGTCACTGCCATTAGTATTGGTGGCACAAAGACGGCCACCTTTGTCCCTTCAATTTTTCAGATCTGACTCTAAGGCCGCAAAGGTACTGTCTTCCAACTTTGGGGAAGAAAATCCTAATTGCACGGAGACATTGTAAGGTGCTTTGGCCGAGATTAGCTGGAAGATCTGGCCCACGAAGGGAAGACTGGCAAAGTGGAAATTCATGTTCCCCGACCCTGAACTGTTGTCTGTTAGGATCCAAGACAGAAGCTGTTTCTCCCCCAAGACATGGTTCAAACAGGGCCTCGGAAGCCGTGAAGCGCAGTAATAGGACTCGCTTCCCTGGGGCCTAAGGTACGAAGCAGAAAGCAGGCACAAAGGGCTCTGCTGAGACCCAGTGGCCCCGGATCTGCAGAGCAGGATCCCTGCGGTCCCTTCAGGGCATGCAAAACAGGACAATTATACCTTCACCCAAGGGTAAGAAAGCAAACACATCCTAGTAGAACCTAAAGCCGCGGCAACAACAGGGGGATCCCTAGGAAGCCGCTGCTCGACCGCTCTTTCTTCCACGTACTATGGTTTAGAACAGCAAATTGTTGGAGAGGATGTGGAGAAAAGGGAACCCTCTTACACTGTTGGTGGGAATGTGAACTGGTGCAGCCACTCTGGAAAACTGTGTGGAGGCTCCTCAAAGAATTAAAAATAGACCTGCCCTACGACCCAGCAATTGCACTGTTAGGGATTTACCCCGAAGATTCAGATGCAATGAAACGCCGGGGCACCTGCACCCCGATGTTTCTAGCAGCCATGTCCACAATAGCCAAACTGTGGAAGGAGCCTCGGTGCCCATCGAAAGATGAATGGATAAAGAAGATGTGGTTTATGTATACAATGGAATATTCCTCAGCCATTAGAAATGACAAATACCCACCATTTGCTTCAACGTGGATGGAACTGGAGGGTATTATGCTGAGTGAAGTAAGTCAATCGGAGAAGGACAAACAGTGTATGTTCTCACTCATTTGGGGAATATGAATAATAGTGAAGGGGAATATAAGGGAAGGGAGAAGAAATGTGTGGGAGATATCAGAAAGGGACACAGAACATAAAGACTTCTAACTCTGGGAAACGAACTAGGGGTGGTGGAAGGGGAGGAGGGCGGGGGGTGGGGGTGAATGGGTGACGGGCACGGAGGGGGACACTTGACGGGATGAGCACTGGGTGTTATTCTGTATGTTGGTAAATTGAACACCAATAAAAATTAATTTATAAAAAAAAAAAAAAAGAACAGCAAATTGCAAAATTTGCATTGTCATTTACTTTTGTCAATAGAACAGATCTCAGGCTGGAGCCTCATTTCTGCAAGAGCTCAAAGTGGCACTGCCCTGGCGAGGGTGGGACGGCTCCCCGGTGGTCCCTCCTGCGGCAGCATCAAGAAGGAACACCGCTCTGTGTCCCCCGGGGATGCTCGTGAAAGTGCGGACTCCTGGCCTCAGCTCAGACCCACCGAGTTGGAATCTCAGGTACTGGCAGGAATCTGCACTGTTCGCACATGGCCCAGGGGGTTCCTACTGCAGCTGCGCTTTGAAAACCCAGGCTCAAGAGGCCTCTAGCTTCGCGAGGTCTCCAAAGTTAGAACCCTAACTATTATAGTTAGAGAGGCCAGCAGCGGCCCATGGATCCAGGGACAGGGCACGGTCTCAGAACCGTCCCAGGGATACCTGCGCCTCTTTCTGTAGCACAGAGGGGTTCTGACCAAGTACCAGCACGGCTACAAGTACAAGCACGGCTACATTATTCTGCACCTGGCCAAAGAGCCTACGTATGTTATCAAACAATAGAAAACCCTGGGAGAAAAATGAAAAAAAAAAGAAAAAAGAAAATCCTGGGAGAGGGTTGTGTGTGGAGGAGCCGAGACCAGGGGATGGGAAGGAATTTCTCGTACTCGTTCTAAAATGGTATTCGTTTACTCCCTGGGATGGCAGCTGTTAAAATGACCCATTTCCTATCCCTCCGATTGGAAACAAACACCAGAAAAACTGGAAGGAACTGGAAGGGAAGGGTCCTGAAGAGCCTCCTTGTTGGCAGCTCTGAACAACTGGCAAGTGCACGGATCCAGCCCCAGCCTCAGGAGGTTCCACAAATGGAACAGAAAGCCAGACAAACCAACGTGCTGTGCTGGAGACAGTTCAGCTCCTAGAGGAGGAGGATGGGGGAAGTGTAGACGACGGAGGAGGTGGACAGTAGAAAATCACCAGGCGGAGCCAGGCGGCCTCCGTCCAGAAGGGGGTCTAGTGAGGAGCTGATGGTGAGCTGCAGCGGCCCTGGGAAAGCCACACAACATCAGGAACAGAACAAACACACACCGCCTGGAAAATGAGAGGGGTTCCCAGGGTGCCCTGTGACTTGAGGGACCCAGGATTTTAACACCATCATCTAGTATCCTTGGGGGTAATGGGTGTCCTGGAAAACACCGGGATAGGGAGGGGCTCCAGTCCAGGAGGTAAACCTCGCGTCAAGCCCCCAGAAATTGCTTCCTCCAACTTATCTAGGACAGAGAAGCCTTAACGATTTCCAAAAATCACCCTTGACAGTGGCATTTCCGGAATCCCTGGATAACAGGGGCCACAGGATGCCACCCGGTGGCAGTGGGTGCTGGGCTGAAGCTGTGCTTGCAATAACAAGCTGATGCCTATGTGGCTGACACTGGCGCCTCTAATATTTCCAGCTTTCCTTTCCTGCCACGTCCATGACAGGCCTGTCCCTCCCCATGCTTTGGAGGAAGGTAGAGCCATGAGACTTGCTTTAGCCCATAAAATGGGCCTGGAGGGGACATGAGGCACTCCCAGGGTGAAAACGCTTAAGAGTCAAGGTAAGAATCGCCACGCCTTCCCCTCCCCCATTGCAACAGGTATGGAAGCAGGTGTGGCTACGGCGATGCCCAAGAACCAAACAGCCAAGAGGGTGATGCCAACACAGCAGACACCTGCCCTGGAGAGTCGTCTGGGCCCACAGCAAAACTGACATGATCCAGAAGTAAAATTTTGTGGTGTTAAGGTACAGGGATTTGGGGAGGGGGGGTGTTTGGTACCAGGGCGTAATTTAGCCCGTCCTGACTCATGCAGTCCATATCAAAGAATGCGAGCACAGGGAGACGGGTGGAGATGGTATCTGCCCCTGCTCTCTGCTTCTGCTGAGTCACCACGACAGGAAGATCCACTATCCCCAGTATTATCACCATGACCCAAAAGCACAGTTTTTGTGACAAATACTTTCCGCGTGAGAAGGTGGACCTCAGGTGGAAGAGGTCACGTAATGTGCCGTGGGGCCGCAGAGTCAGAATGTGAACCCAGACCTCTGGAGAGC